CCAACTGAGCCACCCAGGCAACCCTTTACGTGTCTGTTTTTAACAGAAATACGCTATTCATTAAATAAGTATTAAGTGATTAAGACTTTATTGTGCAAAACCTCTTAAATGAAAGAAGAGCAGCTAAAGACAGAATTTCAGAAGTCAAAACTAGATATTACTTATGTTATTCATCCATTCTACTTTTTGCAAAGGTACGTCACACAGAAAAAGCTCAAAAAGTTTGGGAGGCAGCTCAGTTTGAACACATTTCACTAATATTTCCATTATGTATATTATACAGTTCCATCATAATTGGTTATGAATTTTCATATATTAAGTATGTTTAATATTGAAATTATACTAACTATAATCAAATTTCTAAAAAATTTAGTTGTTCTTTAGAGCAAAATCAATGACTTATAAAAAGTGACTCAGAGGCTCCTAGTGGCACAGTCAGTTAAGCAACCGACTCTTGATTTTGGCTCAGGTCATGATCTCATAGTCGTGGAATCAAGCCCCACATCAGCCTTCACGCTCAGCAGGGAGTCTGCTTGAGATTCTCTCTCTCCTCTCCCTCTACACATTCTTTCCCTTTTCTGTAATTTATTCAGATACATATGCAAAAATACGATGATTTGAAAATATATTTCTATTTGCTTCCATTGGTCTCCAGATTAGTATGTTCCAGACTAGAAGTCCCTTATTATAATTTTTCTACCATCTAATCTTGTAGGTCATATGAAAGTGGTGTACTGTGTGATCATAGCATGTTCATGTGCTGTGTGATCATAGCATGTTCGTATAACATGTAGACATAAGGTGCAACAGATAGGACAGAAAGATCAAATTTCAGTTTGTAAAGCATATAGACCAGTGTTGACATATCTGAGCTATATGAGTGATGTCTAAGTGCTACCTATTGTTATCACCATCTTTATCATCATCACCTTTAGAGAATGGGAGCTCTGTCCATTCTTTACAAGTGACAAAAGTTATCCACAAGAGAACTTATGAGCTTAGGAGTCTGGTTTTTAATCCTTGCCACAGTAGTGCTCAATCACTAAGCATGGAGTTGAGGGTGTGCAGGGAAATTCAGTTAACTTCCTGGATCTTTTCTTATTCTGTTTCAATTCACAAAATGTTTGGGACTGAAATAGATGGTCCCTAAGCTCTCCTTTAACACCTAAAAATATGACAAACATAAAGCAGAATCAGACCTATAAATACAAAGAATAAATGGATAGGGAGGGGGTGGGGGCTGGGCAAAATGGGCAAAGAGGGAGATACAGGTTTCCAGCTATGGAATGAATGTCACGGAATAAGAGGCACAGCATAAGGAATATAGTCACTGATACTATAACAGCGATGTAATGGGACAGATGGTAGCTGCACTTGTGGTGAACACAGCACCATGTGTAAGCTTATCAAATCACTAAGCTGTACACCTGAAACTAATGTAACATTGGGTGTCAATACTCAAAAAATTACATCATATGGTCCCAACACAAGACCTTTTGATAGATATTAGAATATTGTTGAATATGCTATAAGTACTTCTCAACACTGGGCTGGGGATACTACCTAATAAATGTTGAGAACCAATAAAAATATGAAGGAACCAAGAAAAACAGCAAGGTGGTTCCTTATTGCTTGAGTAAGACAAAGCTGGTCATTGATTTCACACTTCTAATCTTTACTCCATATGTGTGTGGGTGTGTATGGAGTAAAATTAGAGAAATATACATTAAATATGAATATGAATATATAATATTCATAAATATGAATATTATATATGTATTATTATATAATTATATTATACATAAGCTATATATACATATATTATATATATGTATTTTAAAGATTTTATTTATTTATTTGACAGAGAGAGACAAAGCAAGAGAAGAAACACAAGCAGGGGGAGTGGGAGAGGGAGAAGCAGACTTCTCGCTGAGCAGGGAGCCTGATGCGGGGCTCGATCCCAGGACCGTGGGATCATGACCTGAGTCAAAGGCAGATGCTTAACGACGAAGCCACCCAGGCACCCCCGTATATAATATATATTATATAAACTTTATACCTATCATCATCAAGAAAAACAAAAATGTAATGAAAAATACTCTCTTAGCCACCAATATTGAATAAAACAATACCATTTGGGGAACTTGAAACTCCCTAAATAGAATTCCTTTATTTCTTCATTAAGAGCCCTTAAAATGACATAACCACTCATTTCTGAATAGTAGCACTGATTGAAGTTCAGTTCTTGTTGTTTTGGAATTATCATCTCATATCTGGGATACTTTGATTTCAATACAGAAAGACTTAGTCCATCCCTACATCATCACACAATGACTTTGATCTTATGCATAGATGATGGTAGATTCCACCCAGTTTTAGCCCCCCCAAAAAGCAAGAAAAAGCAGAATGTCAAAAAGCTACATAGGCAATATGACACACCAGATAAATTTGTTCTAATTGAAGCTTATTGTAAAATTTATGAGATAATCACAGAGAATGCTATAGTAATACTTATCATTGAAATGAGAGTGATAATCCATCTCACTGTGCAGAAACATAAAGGATGGGGGTGATTTCCTCCTACAGAGGAAGAATGCCACGTTTTTTTCTGAATTCAACATTGGAAAGTCCACCCACTTGAAGGACTTCTAGAGATCCTTTATGTATATGCATGAAAACTCTATCTTTTAGCTCAGATAGAAATATTTCTAATAGCATTTGCACAGTATGATATAATTCACCATTTCTTGCATAAGCAGAATTTTAAAAAGACTCATAGAGCACTGGGTGTTATATGCAAACAATGAATCATGGAACACTACATCAGTAACGAATGATGTAACGTATGGTGATTAACATAACATAATAAAATAAAATTTAAAAATAAATAAATAAATAGATAGATAAATAAATAAATAAATAGATAAATAAATAAAAAGACTCCTAGAACTCAATCACTGTTAGAGTTGAATGGGACCTTCGAAGTTTACCAGTCCTTTCTGTACAAAACACAAACAATCCCTCCACCATCCACGCCACTTGATCCATTTTCAGACTCATCACTTTCCATCCAGAGCCTATATCCTCTATGTGGCATCCATTCATTTTTGGAAAATCACTGTTCCTATGAGATGGACATGTTTTTTCCTAAATTTCACTCAGACATTTCCCTATAATTTAGCAAACAAATCTCAGCTTTCAGACATTAATCCATACCACCAACGTAAGTCTAAGGTAGTTATCACATTTTGAACAACAACAACAAAATCTCTAAGATAAACGCTTCTCCTTTGGCCTGGTCTCATGTCTTTAGTTGCTTCTGCATCCTGCTCAGCCTCTTCCAATTGATTTCTCTCCTTCTCATTCATAAAACCCAGGAAAGAACAGATTATATAATCCGCAGTTTGACCAGTGTAGCTTCCCACGAGACTATCTCCTTTGAGTTGTTTATTTCAATTTCCTTAATATCATTTAATACTGCTAAGATATTTTTTGTCAATTATTTAAAAAAAAGTACTGGTGCCTACTGAGTTTGAATGAAATGAAACTTCAGGAAGTCCTAGGAGTCAGGGTTCTTCTATACTACTGTTGTTTTAGTTGATATTTGAAACCTAAGAATATATAATTTCATTTTCTCCCTATTACCTTTACGGTACAGTTTCGATAAAAATTGAAGACTTTTGTGAACTTTTTGAAAACCTGATAATATTCTCTAACATATAAGCTAGCCCTTCTATATGTGTAGCATTTAAATTAGACAGGAGTTCTCAACATATTATCACCCAAGACTGATAAGAATATGGAATAAGCACTTTTAACCTCCCACCAAAGTCAAGAGCAATCGTCCACTGTGGAGCAATCAGCAGTGAGGACATGAAATGTGCTATCTCGTAGCTTGGATTTCTTCCTACTCTAGTCAAGAAAATGACAAGATTTTTTTGGGGGGGGCCAATATCTTGCTGAAATAAAGATGCACTACCTCTATCATTTTGATCAACTACCGAAATGAGGACAGGATGGCGACATGCTGCTTAAATCTGCAATAACACTGGGCGCGATAATGCGCTCCATGATGGTATCAAGATTTAGAAAGACTGAGTGATATTTGGTACTTCTGGTGTTCTAGAACTCTCCAATTGGGTAATTAGAGAGGAATTTCAAGCCAAAACTCTTCACTATATAAAAGAATTGTCCAGTATATTTAATATTTATGAACTGAAAAAAATATCACATGCTGTGCCTTTCACTGAGACATCCTGGAAGTTTCAAACACATTTTTTTTTCTATTTAATAAACATGTAGTTTCAAAATACAAGGTGCTGATTTCCTAAAACTGAATTTTTCAGGACTTTTTTTCATTTGTATAAAATTATTAAACATGAGTTATTCAGGGTTTCTAAAGAACATTTCAAATATATCTATTAATATGACTCATTATTTGTTAGAACATAATTTTCTAAAATTGCTGTGCTCTGCACATAACTCTGGATATCACCCATTGTGCCATTTTAAATATTTTCTGAAACTTTTTCTATTTACTCTCTTCCCAAGCAATTCTTTCTCTTTGCCTACTTTAATTGGAACTCTATCATCTCAGACCTATTTGCAATAAGTGGGACTGCAAGAGAAGCTTACTAAAGAGAACCTACCAAATATTTTTATGCAGGTTTTTAAGATTTAAACTCAAACTTCATCAGAAGCTGCTCAAGTTCCATATGCTTCGTAAGAGCTAAACCAAAGACAAAATTGTCATTTCCCGGTTGAACAGTGAGCTGTCTTAAACAAGGCTATGATGCCTGTGCCGAAATAGGTCGTCAAAATGTGATATGTAACTCTCTCCTGTCACTGGGCCAAAATGAAGGAAAGGGAATCTCAGTGATTTTAAGAACTGGTTAGACACACCTAGTGTGCTCACACTGCATGGAGAAACACCATTAGCAGCTGATGGGACTTGCAGCCTAGGACCTACGTGAAGGACAGTCAAGTGCAGAGAATCTTACGTTCTTGAAAGGATGTGAAGAGCATCTGAAATCGGCTGTTCCGACTGCCCTCATCGGCCCACATGCGGATGACCCCAAGACCCGTGCGGAGCATGACGTCATTGGCCACGGTGCTGCAGAATTTTGCCTTCAGGTCCCCCACCGAGCTGCTGCCATCATACACAGCCACAAAGTTCCTTTTGCATTCATTTGAATTCTGCATCTCATAGTCCAAGAAGCGTAAGTAGATCTGTAACATAACAACAAAGATGTAGTAATTTCCTCAAATCAAAACATGAAAGTAGTTCAGCAAATACCAGGTATTCTCTTTAGTTTCACAAGACAGTCTTGATTGCAGTCAATCTTAGGATGTTTCCCCTGTGGGGAGCAGGAGGTTAAGATGTACAACTAAGATCAAACCGTGTTTAGTATTTTTTTTTAAATGTTATTTTCCTTTCTTTAGGTACATAAATGTATGTTAATAAATAATCTGTATTACTACTAAAGGAAAACAGAAATGGTATCAAAAGATAGTCTCTGATTTCACTTTGTTTAAATCATTTCACAGAACCGCACTGTTTCATTTTTGAAGTAGAGCACATTAAAAATAATAAAATAAAAAAGAGAGCTAATCTTTGATTATTCTTGCCACAACACAGAGTCAAGCCATTTAGTGAAGTCCACATAACTAAAAATTAAATTAACATTTAATGAGTAGAAATGCCCTGTGCAACCTACTCTATAGATTATTTTTAAATACTTCCGACTACTCTAAAAAGTTTTATTGTCCTATTCAGATGATGAAACAGAGACTCGGGTAGTATAAACTGGAGATCAGACAGGGTCTCTCTAACTCCCTAGGCTATGACCCTTCCACAATATAACACTGCCATAGACATGCTATTTTATGATCAACAGATTTTATTTGACTCTGTTCCAACGTACACTATAAAATCACAAGCAATTAATTCAGCCAAAGATAGTTTTGAAAAGAAGTCATCTGTCCATTCAACCACTGGTTCAGCATTACTACATCTTGGCCTCTGACTTTGTCCCAGACACTATTCAAGGCACCAGGGAAACACCAGTGCACAAAAGAATGAAGCTCAGTGTTGACAATATGTGTCCATTAAACCATGACACATGGACATAATGTCATACCGACAAAAGTGATATAAAGAAAAAAAATCTGTGCACTATGAGAGGGATATCTGGTATGGCTCCGAAATAAAGAAGGCATCCTTCACAAATATCTACTAAGTGTTTTATGTTTTCTAACATGAAAGGCTATGGGCTATTTCCTCTCATACACCCTTCTATTATTAATGTAACATGGGCATAAACTGAAGACATGTGTTCACCTAAAAATCCATCTCTTTCATCTCGACATTCATTAAACAAAAATTTCTCAGGTTCAATTTGTCTGCCTTAAATTTAGAAGTTTCATTCTTTGAAAATAAAAGAAATTTCTCTTTTGCCCTCAATGTTCTTACTGAATGGGGCAGTGATCCTTGTTCATTTGACCTTCAAAATAGTTGTTTCCATCTCTGCTGACAGGTCTATGATACTTCAAGAGTCTCCCACCCGGCCTGGATCTGTCCAAGGTTCTAATTTTTCAGTCCACTCCCAAAGCCCAGCCACATCAAAGTTATATTTCTAAAAAACAAATTTAATAATCATACTACAGTCTTTTAACTGGTTCCATCGTAACCATTCCAAATGGTTACAATAAAAAAAAGTTTATAAACAATGAACTGGCAAATTTTTCTTATGTCTGAACATTTCATACTTACAAAATGCCATTCTTTATGCACAAAACATTAGTTATACATGAGTAACCATTCCTTCTTCTCTGCCTACTAAGCTCTTCCTGGTTTTTCAAGGTTCAGTTCAATTGTTACACACCCAGTGCAGAATATTCACTACCCCTACTCCCCAACCATATGGCAGAATTATTCTCTGCATCCTCTATGCTAAAATATTATTTTGAATCTATTTTAAGCTTTAGTTGCGGGTTCCACAAAATTTTTACTATACCATGTGTTCCTAAAAAGCTGGGGCAGTGGCATACACTTTTGTATTTGAGGCATTAAACCGTGTGTTGTATATATTAGGCACTCCATCAAAGTTTGTGAGGGGATGTACCTGTGAATGACTGACTGATTGGAGAATTCTATTTTGTTATTGATTTCATTTGTTTACTACCAATCGACTATTGATTGGGCCCCTATATGCCAGACTGTTTTAAGTGCTATAAATAATAATTATGTAGAATAATTGGCATTTTATTATTTGCAGTAGGAAATCAAATGCAAAAATTTCCCAAACAAGGTATTTCTACTATAACTCTGAACTGTCAGAGAACCACAAGACAGTATTGCTGCAGACTTTGTAAGACAGAACGGACTAAAAATAAAGTGTGAGTCCAAAGTCAGGAAATGCTCATATAACCTTGAGGAAGAATAACAGAGAAATAGGGAAAAATGGGCAAAAGCTGAGAAACAGTGGAAAGCACTTGAGTTTTATGATGCTTTGCTTGGTGAGGTTTTCATACAACGGCAATCTGTAACATTGCAGTTGGAGCTACTCTAAAATTTCCCAACACTTTGATGCTAACTTTAACTGCATTACTACAGACATAAAACATATGCCCTAAGAAATTCTGCATGCTCTTCACTCCCAGGTTATGTTCTACTTTATTTTATCAGAAGTTCAACTATCACTCACATTATCCATCTGGGATTCACTCTTCCCAACCAAATATTACGTTCCTGAAAACTATTCAGGAAATCCCAAAATGTGCCCTTTAAGAAGGCATAGCTGAAAATGTTAAACCTTCCAAGTTTTCACTAACTATAGTTTGTTTTTCAAATTTTCACATGGATTTATAAAAAGATTGGGTCTTTCAGATGACCTTTACCAGGAAGCTGGAGCAAAGGAAACAAAACAGCTTGCTCAAGGGATGGAAGCAATCAATGTGGGAGCCTTAAATAGGATTAAAATACCTAACTCTTGTTTTAAAAGCTCTTTTCACTACACTGCATCACCCAATCTGGACTATAAGTAAACAGATTGAAAGCACTATAAAAATACAAATACTTACAAAATCTGGGTATTCTTATTAGGTAATCTAAATTTGTTAAATGCAACAAAAATCAAGTATATATTTATAATTTCAAATACCATACAATCAACCCTACAAAGTTATTAGCCCTCAAAAGAATATGCAATTACAATTGTAAATATACATAGTCCATGTATATGTATGTATACATACATATACATAACGTGACCCAGGCCCTTAGGCGACAGATCAGTATTGAACTCAATCCACCTGCTGGTTTGCTCCCTTGTACAGCACTGCGCAGACTCCTATATTTTCTTTTTAAATTCTGACAGACTTATATTCCAGAAAGAAAGTTATAATCTTAAGGAAAACAAACTGCAACAAAATAAATGAATAAGTCAGCAAAAAGCCAAACTGTTTCGATTTTCCTACAGGAGCGAGGAAACATGTTGACAATCCAGATAAAAATGAGATTCGCGGAAAATAAATGTGTCCCTCTGAAATAAATGGGTGTCTTAAATTTTCTTAGAAAGAAGTGTGTTTTATAGAAGAGCACTGCTATAGTTAGAAAGGCAATTTGCATATTCAGCCCGTGGTTTCTCATTTGACAGCTCCAGAGAGTGTCCATATTTTCCATACGAGGTGACTGATTGGTATTCTCACATGAAGTTCAATGACAGAAGTCTAAGCACCTTCTATATTTAAAGGCCATTCTTAGTAGACAGGACACTATTTATAGAGGAAGTGAACAATTAGTCACTAGATTTTATATATTCCACTTCTATTATTCTTTTAACTTCATTTTTTAAAAATCATTTAAGAAAAGAAATAAAATATGCCAGTGGATATTAGGTTTACTGGGTGCAGAGCTGTTGGTGCAAAAACCAGCTGTCATTGGCCGGAAAAGGGATCAAGCTTCCCCACACTAGCTCTAGGATACATCATATAAAAGCCTTCCTTATATTAGGATTTAAATGATATCTGCCCAGCTTAAACTTGTGCCATAAGATCACCAAGGGGGAAACACCACATGACATGGGTTTTATTTAAGGTGGAAAACTACAGAAAGCTCTTTAGTCTCTCTGCTGAGAAAAAGGGAAAATTATAAACAGAATCATATATAACTCCACTAAAATAGTCAGATTACAATCTCCTCTCAGTGAATCATTTTGATGCATTCTTCTTTCTAATCAATCACAGAGTTTGAGCTGACAAAATGATTTATTGAATAGGACCAGAGATGCTTCAGAACACATAAGCAATTTCTAGTAATATCTGTCTTCCAAATCACACTCATATGGAGAGCAGAATCCCTTTTGTGTACTTGAAGCAAGTAAATCTAGTTAACAATTTACTAAGTAATATATTTACAAACAAACATTTAACACCAACCTTTCAACCTGGTCCCTCCCCTTGTGTCACAGTGAGATGCAGAAAACAGACATTGTTTGGAGCAATTGTTTAAGACTTGCCAGAACAGTTTTCTCCATGAAAATACAAATTAAATACATACCACAGCCTGAGAAATGCTGTCTGTGGTTTCAATACTTTCTACTTTGATAAATAAGGCCACATTCTAAAAAGCATGTAGCCCAGAACTTCATGCTTGCTGTTTGATTTGTGACTGGACCTGCCAGGCCTTATAATTTTAGGTATGATATCCCATGAATCTGGAGGCTAGTAGCAGCATCCCCTTTATTCAGAGGAGAAAACCATAACATCATACTCTTTTCTGAAATGTTGAAATGACACACCCTATAACAAATCCTGATGGGAATATTAAAATGATTTTCTGGCATGCATAAGCAAGTATCAAAAACACTCCATCTCCAAAATCCGATCGTACAAAACTGAGATTTCAGTTAATTTTGGATCATGAGATGTTTATTGGTGGTTACCTAGCCAGTTAAAATTTCCACTTTGTTTACCCAATTTTTATTTTCATTTTTGGAGATAATAAAGGCAGACTCAGTCTTTAGAACCCTAAAACTTATCATTGTAATGAAATACAGTTACTACCCTTCATCTGCTGTTTTAGTTTTCTCCTTGCTCCATAACAAGTTCCCAGAAATAGAGCAGCTTTAAACAAGACCCATTCAGTATCTCCGAGTTCTGTAGGGTAGAAGTTAACTGTGGGCTGGATTGTATTCTCTGGCAATTCTATTGAATGGCAATTCCAGGATCAAGGTCCCTGTTTTCTTGATGCCCATTTACCAAGGATCACTTTTAGCTCCTAGAAAATGTTCTTAATTCCTCTGACTTCCCCTTTTGCCTACAGCCAGAGAAAATCCAGCTTTTAAGGGTCTCGTGTGATGAGAATAGGCTCACCTGGATAAATTCTCTTTTAATAAACCCAGAGCCAACTGATTGGTAACCTTAATTGCATCAGCAAAATCCCTTTTGCCAGGTAATTTAACATAATCAGGTATGTGATATTTTATATTCACAGTCTCACTGATTGGGCTGGAAATCTTGGGTGTCATCTTTAAGATTCTGCCTACAATTAAGTTCATCATACAATTTACTTTAAAACAACTTCACGATAAAATATTGACTTACTATATTTGTCAAGTTTTCCTATTTATTTAATGCTAATATTATTCAAAACATTTCTGAATCAAGTAACAGCACATTAAAAATTAATGTGAAGTTTTAAATGATGGGTAATTACTAAAAGCTAGAGTTTTATTGTCCCAACACCTTAATCATTAAGTTAATCACCTTCATTTGTGTACTTTTATAAGTCTTTGAATTACCTCTTTTCCTATCTCAACAAATTTGACAATTTCCTCAAATAGTGTGGCTTTGTGACATCACACTGGACTGGGAGTCAGGAGATGGAAATCTTGCCTTAACTCTGTACCAACAAACCAAATACTTGGGCAGTCACTTATCATAGACTCATCTAGTTTTGGTCTTGAGGGGAATTTAATCTTACCTATGCCAAAGAATTACCTGACTTAAATTATTGTACCAAATCTCTGCCAAACTTTATTTGGATTCCTCCTATGGAATCTCATTTGATTTTTGGGCAGCTCCATTTAGCCAAACCTTCTTTATATCGAATCAAAAGCTATATTTTTTCTAGTTTCAAGCATTTGAATAAAGTCTAGTACTTGAAACCATGCAGATTAAGCCTTATCATTCTTTCCTCTGTCATATGACAATCCTTCCAATGTCTGAAGATTGCCACCATGTTCATTTTTCTAGATATACATAAGTTTGTTTTTTATTCCATGAGTTTTAACTGAATGACAGACATTTAGCTTGGTGCTGAGTACCTAGAGATACATAAGCCCCAGCCTTCATGGAATTAACATTCAAATAGTTACCATGATTTGATCACCCAACATTCTTTTCTGTTGGTTCTCTTCTGTACCGGATCCAGGACAAGACAGTAACACCCTTCCACCAGCCTCGCTCTAGAGTCTATACAAAGGGATCTCTATAGTCCATTGTTAGCCCGTATAAGACTTCATTATCATGTCGCAGCTTATTCATCTGTTAAATGAGCTAATCAGGAACAGATTTCCAATGTTCTCTCTGGCTCTAGTATGCCAAAGTCTAAGAAATCTGGACTGATCACATTCTAATTAAAGGTGATCATCTGTATGACTATTTTCTATTTGTCAAAAAGCCTGAGAAGCAATATATACTTGACATAAATGTTAATAGAACTCCAGGAAACTTAATACCTGCATTGTGCAATGTTTCAATTCCCATTTATCATTCAAATATTCACCCCAAGCCCCTTCGAGTTTAACTTGGGCTTTGATAGTCTCTTCTCATAAGCTGCTAGGAACTCCACAAAAATAGAAAACTCACATAGGCAGTCATACCCAGTTCTTGCTTTTCTCCACAGTTATTCAAAGCCATTTCCTATCCTCTAACCTTTAATTTAACAGAGAAAGCTTGTCACAATAGAGTCATCTTTGTCCAACTCTGCAGGCGGCTTCCCCTTTGGGTCACAGAACGCCAAATTCTGTAACAGACAGGTACACTGGGTATTGTTGCTCTGGAATTGTGCAAAAGACAGCCTATTTACCAGCTGGGAAAAAAAAACGACGTGTGTTTACGCTCCCATAAAAACCCTCTCTTTATCACTGCTGTGAAAGATGTTGCTTACAGCAATGAGGTGGGGCTCAAATGTTTCCAACTGGAGAATTTTTTTCTAATCTTTCATTCATAGAGTTTAAGAAAAATGAATAGCACTTGCCTGTGAACCCACAGATTATGTAAGAGAGAATAATTAACTGCAATCTAGCTCCTTTATAATCCAAGGAGTGCGTTGGCTTTTATGTCACGAACAGCCTTTGATTTTTTTTTTTTTTTAAAGGAGGAATCACTGGGTTTTTCTTGATAATTCAATAAAAGTTTTCAAAGATTTGCACAGATGCAAAGAGGCCTGCCGGGGGCAAAGCTGGAAGCCGGAGCATGGCTCTGAATGCCTGTGACTGCAAGTCTGGGCAAAGCATGCCGCACTTCCAAATAGTATGCAGACCCAGAGACAGATTCCTGGGAAAATCAAGTGAGGACAGCCAACACACTTCCTGAAATACCAGCCTCCTCAAAGATGACTCTATTTTTCCCCCCCGTCCTGAATATCCAGCCACCAAAATCCCCTCTATCGATCTTGAATCTTTCTTTGGTCTATCTACCATCATAAGCTAGCCTCAACCATGGGGCTCACTGCCACATCTTCCTCCCGAGTCTTCTGCTCACGGTGTTCACGCCTCTCTCCCTACATCCCAGAGAAAAACTCTTTTTCCAGAATGCAAAGCTGATCACATTTTCCTGCTGCACACTCTTCCACGTATCACTGCTACCAGAATGAATCCAGGTCCTTTAGGTCCCTTTGGCTCAAAGACTCATCATCCACCTCCATACTTTTATTTGCCTCCATGCTTTTATTTGGTCACATTCAATTACTTATTTCCTAAAAAAGCTCACTGTCTTCTGATTCTATGACCCTGATGCTATTCCCCTCTACCTGGAGAGCCCTTCCCTGGTCTACCTGACACAATGCTGTTTCTCATTAAGTTTCAGTGGACACCCTGGCTGAATTTGATTCCACATTTGACTTACCTTCGCAGGTGTATGATACTTCTCCCTCTCTCTACTACACCTTAGGAACACCTCAGTGATCATGGCTCATTCCTTGGATTATTTGGTTACAAATTTGTCTAAGAATTAAACAGGAAGCGTGAGGACAGGGGCCGGCACACTTTCTTCATCTCTCCAACACGATGCTTGAGATTTTACAGAGCCACTAAATCTACTGATTAACTAACGAACTGTTTCAACCTCAATAAAGTCAACGACAAACCTAATAAATCAATAAGGCTTGGTTGAAACTATATAACTGAAGAGTGACAATAAAGGAAGGGGGATTAGCAAATAACACTCCCCGCCTATGATAGTCACTGACACAAAGTTATCCCCAGTATTCCTTAAAATTTCAATAAGAGGATAAATATGATTGTTTTAAGGAAGTATTTCCAAAATAGTGGTCTGACTCTGAATCTGACCCATAATATATTTAGTTTAATAGCATGTAAATTTACAATTTAAAAAATGTATTGCCAGTATTTAAAAACCAAGGTGATCAACATAAAATCCTGACTTCTTCCATGTTATGAGAAAATTGGAGGACTTGGTAATGTTAGACCAATACTTTTTCATAACGACAATAAAAAGGAGCTTAAGAGGCAGTGGACAGCTGGCTGGCTTCTTTGCAACGGCCAGGCTTTCCCAGGTCCTGTTTGCCACTGCCCCCCAGCCTTATCATAAAATATTTTATATGCCAGAGATATGTGCTTTTGCAAGGCCTGGACAATATCTTCCAAAGATACATTAGGTTGAAAAGCGAGCAAACTACAGATACTGACAGGAAGGGCATAAGTGTGATTATACTTAGACCCATAGCTTAGATATAGCATTTCAATCCATTTTCCTGAGGGGTGGGGCGGGGGGGGTGGTAGTCACATTAGGGTCTCTTGTCCAGATGATCAAATGATTTCTTTAAAGCACCCTCTCCATATTATTTACAACATCAAAAATTTCCTTGGTTGGGGCAAGACAAGTTGCATTTCAAACCAAAATAAAATGATAGCTTATGATTGCACTCTGAAACCCACTTAGCATGTCCAGTTGGTTCAAAGCAGCGCATGCTCCAGACACTTCCGAGCTGACTGTTTTCAAATCTGTTTTCACCTTAAGACTGACCTTGGATCGTGGAGGTGCCCGGATGTACCACTTGCAATCCACAGCCTCGCTAGCAGAAGCTTTGCCTTCTTTCATAATTTGTATAGATTCCACAATTCCTTCAGGACCGCCCATCTCAAACTCACATGCTAAATAACAAAATGCCAAACAAACATACAAAAATGGAGCTTGAATAATAAACCAAAAGTGTATTTCAGAGCAGTAAACAAAGACCTCTGAACATTATTGAGTATCTATTTTACCAACCTGGTAACGGTTTCAAAACTCCAAGGTCCTTAAAGTCGGGATCTTAAAAATTGAGAAAAAGATAATTAGTCTTATTCTGCATTTATTTCTTAAAATGATGGTGAGTAATATACCATTAAATTATTCAGGAATCTGCCAAAAAATATATTAAGGGAAATTAAGTGGTTAAATAAAAAACTGTATGATAATGTTAAGACTGAAATGTTAATTTATAAAACAGAATTATTACCACAGCGTTTTTATCACTACAAAAGAAGCCATTTTTAAAAACCTTCCAATGCCATTCTTCATCTAAGCATCAAGTAAAAATATTACTCATTAACTCTAAATCCACAATCGGACACTAGATGGTTTTATAAAATGTATCCATAGGTAAGTCAAGTTTTGAGTATATTTCCATCTATGACACATAGAATCATTTTGTCTGATTTAACAGATTCTGTAAATTGTTGAAACACCATTTTCCTTGCCACTGAAATACTGAAAGTACAGATTTCAGCTGTGAAGCCGAGGGCCTCTTTCCCCCAGCAGAATGCACTATCCTATTTTCCAGCAGACCTTTTTCCTTAACGTTTTATTAAGTATTCCTCAGTATTGGCGGTGTCCTCTCAATGCCAGCCCCCTCCCTGGCTTTCCCCTCACCCCACCCCAGGTCCAGGTATGTGTCCTTCTCTGCTCACGTACTTGGGGGAAGCTTGGTTTATCATGAGCCTCAGAAGTGTCCTAAGCGTTAGAAGCCAAAATGGTGGGCTTGTTTCCACTTCCTGAAACTGACTTTGAGATAGGTTTGCAACCAGTGAAATGTAATGGTGAGCCAGTTGGAGGACTTCTGAGAAAGTTTTCTTCAAAAATAAAAAGAAACAAGGCACATATAGTTTTCTGGCTCACACTGTGATCTGGCTTGTATGGGGTCCCTTTGGGATTGTGCACAGTGGTCAGCTTATGATGTTGACAGGTGCTAACATGAGGAGACACTAACTCTCAAGGGTGAGAGAATAGAAACCTGTAGAACACGAATCCTTACGAACATCACTGGGGCACTATATTCAACTACCCTGTAGTCACACTTCCTCCCCCTTTTGCTTTTTGAAACAATGTACGTCCTTATAATTTCAGTTACTTTGAATTGGATTTTCTTTTACTTATGGATAAAGGCATTAATGGTTATGATTTTTCTTGGAGACACCCGGCATCCGATTTAAAAGGTAACTGTGAAACTTAATTTCTTTTTACTACTAAGGTACTGGCTATAAATTAAAAACCTTATAAAGTTAGAAATACATTGAGAGACACTGCTCAACAAGAGTCTAGGGCTGAAATATGAAAGGGTAGCACTCTCAGGAGGCAATTATTTATGGATATCAAGACTGTGTGTGCGTAGATGTTGGTGTGTATCCAAGTGTTCTCCTTTATATGTCTGTGTGCCTGGAGACGCTAAGCCTGTGGCTTCAGGCTGACTGTATCACTGTACTTATTTTCATTACAGTTTTTTTTTTCCTAATTTTCTTAAACAGTAATGCGTACTGATACACTGAAATTGAAAGGCCTGGACCAGCCAGGCCACAATTTAGTTATGTCAACTATTTAGACTCACTTTATTATAGAACACAATTATAATGTGGTAATATATTTTGAATCAAGATACAAATCCTTTGTATAATTTTTTTAAAGATTTTATTTATTTATTTGACAGAGAGATACGGCAAGAGAGGGAACACAAGCAGGGGGCAGTGGGAGAGGGAGAAGCAGGCTTCCCGCCAAGTTGGGAGCCCGATGCGGGGCTCGATCCCGGGACCCAGGGATCATGACCTGAGCCGAAGGCAGACACTTAACGACTGAGCCACCCAGGCGCCCCCAAATTCCTTTGTATAATTATTTTGAAAACAGTTCTTTACCTTTCGGAAGGAAGGAAGGAAGGGAAGGAGGAAAGGAAGGAGGGAGGGAGGGAGGAAGAAGGGAAGGAAGGAATGGAGGAAGGAAGGAAGAAATGAAGGAAGGAAAGAAAGGAGAAAGAAGGAGGGAAAGAAGGAGGAGGAAGTACCTGGTGCAATTTCCATGAAAGATGCAGAAATGAGGAGAACATAGTTAATTTGGATCAGGATACCCCAAGCAGATGTTTTTGCCTTCATCTAAATTAATGGATATTTGGTTATTCTTTCAAAAAAGTGTGTGATATTTGTGTGTGTATATATATAAATTATTTATTTGAGAGAGAGAGAGAGAATCTCAAGCAGACTCCCTGCTGAGCATGGAGCCCGACATGGGGCTTCATATCACGACCCCTGAAGAGAAATCAAGAGTCGGATGCTTAACCGACTGAGCTACCCAGGTGCCCCTTAAAAAATGTGCATTTAATACCTACTGTGCACAATAAAAGACCTATGTTTTGTACAGAATTATGCAGATTGGTTGTCACCACTAAGTAGTTTTATTGGTTTTGAAGAGACCCCATATTTTCCCTTACTTTTACACCAAGCTTGCCCACCTCAGTTATCCGGATTCGTTATTATTCATTATGTCCCTTTCACTATTTTGCATAACGTTTAATAATAGTCATTATAGATTTGAGTGTTTCAGCCTGGCATGGCTGTTCCTATGATTCTTGCAGACGTAGATGGTATTTCATTTTCTGGTTTGAAGGCTAACATTTGTCATTTTTATAACTCGTGCTACACGATGTTGAGAGAAATGCCAGTTCTGGGAGTTGAAAATTTATTTTTGTCTTTGTATTAATGGTGAGAGCACTGATGGTTAAGAAAAGGGGGGTAGGGAGGGAGAAAAAAACTTGAGGAAAGATTGTTTCTGTGCTCCCATTTGAATAAGCCACCAGTAATATCATGGCCGCAATGACCTGCAAAATAGAAAATAAACAACACCATATTTTTTTTAAAGCAGCTTACACTGGATTTAAGAACGCTAAGATTGTGTTTTGGTTTTTTTGCCCCAGGATGTTCAGGGGCAATGACAGAAATGATTACGCAGCAGCACAGTGGAGATGGAGTAGGTGGAGATACTAGCCACCTTCTACTCTAGATCTCCCCAAAGCTGTTCTCCACTAGGCCCCTCTAATAAACTTTTAAAAATATAAATCAAATTATATTACTCACCTGGCTTTTCATTGCTGGTTGAATAAAACCCCAGCTCTTTTTAAAGACTGTGATTCTCTGTGTGTTCTTGCCCCTGTCCCCCTGGCCCAATGTACCACAGGCTCCCGACTTTTCTGTCTCCTCTCAAAACAAACGGAGCCTTCCTGGCCCTCCCGCACGGGAGGCCGCCCCCTCAGCGCTCAGAACTTGATGCTCTGTCTGCGCTGCCCTCCCCACAGGTCTTTGTATGGCTGGATCTTACTCCTTCCTCAGCTCATGACTGGAGTACCGTCTTCTCAAAAAGACCTTCCTGCATGAGCCTCTATAAAGTAACACTACCTCTCACTTTCTTTTCTTCCTTCACGGTTTCTTTTATCAAAATCCACTCATGTTTTCCTATTGGTTTACTTTCCTATTGGCCATCGACTCCCACCACACTACAAGGAAGCACATTCTATAAGGGACTTTTGTCTACTGCTCCCCTCTCTCCAAGACCTAGAATACCACTTGCACATAGTGGGAGCACCATAAATATTATTGAATTTAACATATTTCTCTGTGTATCTAAAAAATACAGTTACTTTATACCAGGTTGATTTTCTTATACTGTTGACGTATTTGCAACACATATAACTATACCTTTCCAATTCAGAGGCTCCCACAGTAAGTCATCAAATTAGATAGGGACTAATCTCTAATAAATCAAACCCGAGCTCTTTCTTTCTGGGTACCAGCTGACCACGTCCCCCACCCTCCCTGACAGGTAGGGGTCGCTGTGTGACCGAGTTCGGCCCAAGGAAACGTGAACAAAATGGCTGAACGTCACCTGAAGCCTGAGCTCATAAATATTACTTGAAACAATTCTCTACTCCCTCTTCCTCTCTTCCATGGTCCACCACAGAAGATCCCATCAGCTTCAGCTCTTAAATGAAAATGTATGACAGAGTTTCCAGATCCTACATGCTATTTGATGACATCATCACTATTATGGTTACTAAAATATTTGTTTGTGTTTCTAAGAATATTCTAAGGTAGTGGATTTAGGGTATAAATGATATACATTTTCAGAGATTAATCCAGTTTATTCTCAATAATTTTACTGGACATTTACTGGCTTGCTTCAATTTTCCCTGCTCTGATCTCTGTAACCTCATTTTTGTCCAAGACATTGTTGTTATGAAATCTAGAATTATGTCTCAGACATACATGAAAGCACAACTAGATTTAGGACATTTTTCTGTCTTATTTTATAACTATATATATATATATATGTAAAAATATTTTAAATTTTTTCTAATTTTAAAAATTTTTATCTAAATATGAATATTATGAAATTCAGTAATATTTTCCCTGAAATAAAAGAAATATATCTGTAATACATTCCTCTTCCTGTGTAGGGGAGACATTTGTCAGAGATGGAGAAGATTGACAGCCTCACTTTCTCCACCATCCTTACACAGTCTGTTTCTAAAGCTGGAGAAAAGGATGACACTAATATTCCAAAGAGGTCTCTTACTCATGAAAAGGAGAAATCTACTCCCAATAAGAAGGGAAAGCTGTCCATAAGAAATGAAAATACGACAAAAGCTATCATTCCTTCAGTTTTATAGATGTTAATAATTTGTTTTATTGCAGTTTAGGCAGAAAAATATTTTCTAGTAATTTTATTGTGACAGTTTGATTGCAACATTATTTTGAGTAAATAATTGTTTAAAAAGTATTAGATATTTTAAATGTAGACATAATCAGCTCTTCAAAAGCTGAAAATCTTTTATTACACTTTTGAAACTAAAATTGATAAAGTCCCTGAGGCATCTTACAAAGTAAGTTATTGTCCTGCATTGGCTGGAGAAGCACACACGAGAGATGACAGACTAACAGTGCGCGGCTGCCATTGCTTGATGTCTACTGGATCGATAGGGAAAAAAACAAAAACAGGACTCTCCTGCTTTCCAG